TTCCAGACAGCAAAAATGCCAGGCTGCTAACAGGTGAGTTGTTTGTACTTTAAAAGTTTACTGTTCCAGTTAGGACATTCTTGATGGCATTTTATATTCCCCGTGCAGTGCAGCCAGCTGATTCATGCTCCATTCTGAAGGTTATGAGTCTCCATGTGATGTTAAGAACTATACGGGCGAACCACTAAAGGAGAAGTGTATAAAATGCAGGGCTGCTCAGTGGAAGTATATGAACCAGAAGTATTTCATTTTACGCCGTGGTTCTCCTTGTGTTGGTAGCTCTTGAGGACTGACAGTCCTTCCACATGCTTTCACTTTTGGAGTTATAGCTGCTCTTTCTGTCCAAAAAACATAGAGCAAGGAGTTTTGGATAAGATCTTTAGATTTATTGTATGCATTTTCAATTCATCTGAAACATGCCATGGCTGACTGAGTTATTGTACATGAGGCTTTCTGTAAACTGTCCAGAGAGGGCTCATGATCCCTGATTGCTGGGATCTTCTAAATGCCACTTCTGAAAATCCCTGGAAGAATGTGTTAGATATGATGTGAAAAGTCCAAGCATAAGGAAATGCCAAGAAAAGACAAACACATGTTTGGGGGAGAACTGACCTGAAAGAAATCTAGAAGACAAATACCTTTTAAAATGTCAACTAAAAGGTGAACAGGATTTCAATAGATGAAAAAAATTTAACCCAAATTCCAGGAGTTCCAGGAGGGAAGAAGAAAACCACAAATCCAGTTGGGAGTCAGTGTGACAGGAAGTCATGGTGGGCAATGGGGGCTTGTGGAGGAGTAGGATAGTCAACCACTTATATCCATGGCTCTCCTCTCTCTTTTTTTCTGTATTGTTTTGGAACCTGTCCTGGAAGTTGCTCTGTAGACCAGGCATGGTCTCAAACTCACAGAGATCAGCCTGCCTCTGCCTCCTGAGTGCTGGAATTAAAGGCTCGTGCCACCAATGCCTAGGTCATGGCTCTTGTCTCTTGCCAGCATGCTGCTGCTACTGGGGAGTGAGCCTCAATTAAAGACTTCTTCCTGCGAATATAGGTAGATGTGGGGTGGTCATTTCCAGCTCTTACATGAGTTCCATATTGATTGATTGGAAGTTTGTTAAAGTCTCATATAGAAGAGGATACACGTTGGATTTAGGGTGTTAAGGGACTCAGAACACTTTTTACCTACCGCTAAGTGGATAGTCAAGAAGCCTTTTAGTGTGTCAAGCTACAGATATTTAGCTTTCTTAAGATAGATGGTGTTTACCTTAATGAACCTGACAAAAGTAGAAGGTAGATGTGGCTCGTGTGTGAATGACAGCATGATGTAGCAGGACTCTGGCCTGGAAGGCATGGGCCTCATTTATTCCTTTCTTTGCCTTTTTGCTCATTTGCTCATTCACTCATTTCATATTTATTGAGAGTTTTACACCCTGTCATAACTTGATCTAAATGCTGGAAATGCTGTGATTAATAATGCATAGATCATGGCCCTATGGAGCTTAGAGCCAAAGGGAGGCAGATGAAACAACATCAGGCTAATGATCGGAATGCCTGATTTTCCAAAGTGTGGGCGTCAGATCAGCAGAACGAGCTACACTTGGGAGCGTGCTAGGGATGCAGTACCACAGACCCCATTCTCAAATCAGTGGAATCATAAACACTGAGGCAAATCTGAGCTGATATGCACAGTGAAGTCTGGGAAGCATGGGTAAAGTGAGTGCAATGGCTGGATGTGCACCGGGGCCACAAGTTCCTTCAAAGGAAAAACACTTAGTCCAGATCCAAGAAGCTGCTGAGATGACCTGAGAGCTAAGCTGATTTCTGTTCAATGAGCTGTACACACATGATTCTGTGAGGTCACTGCAAGCCATTTGCATTCAGCTTTGTCTGTAAAATAAGGCAAACTATTCCAAGGTCGTTTCACACCTTAAGACCTGCCAAGGTAGCTTTGAGCCTTAAATGTATGTAAAAGTTCCCTTGAATGTTCAAAGCTATACAAGAATGGAAGGTTTTACTTCTAAAGCTGCAGAACGTAGGAAAATGTGCTTCTAGGTATAATGATGCATTTAAAATACTTTTTTTAGCAAGAAAAAGTCATCTAAGATGGGCTTTTTCTTTTGATTAAACATGGGATCAAAAGAATTTTGCCCTCTTCTTACTGCACAGGCGTCTAACATCTGAAAATTAAGTCTAGTGTGTTGGTCAAATGCATCCTCCAGGGGTAGGCTCTAGACTTCAATCATCTGTGTGTTCCAGAAATGTGTTCACACAATAGTTCAGTTCCAGAATGACCCCTTGCTAGGACAGACATTAGTTTTGCTACAAACAGAAAAATAGAAGTAATTTTTATTCAGGATGAACAGAACTGTAGAAGATTAATGAAAAATAAACACAGTATGGTAATTAGTTAGAGATTATATTAGTCTAGTGATATAGTCTCCATGAGCTATTTTCCTCACTACTAACAAGTGTTTCCTCACTTTTAGGTTTCAGATGAGGCTGGTGGCCCATAGCCCAGTCAAAGAAAATGACACATACATTTATGCCTTGGTCATATTGTGTGTATTTTCTTAGAGTGTTATTCCTTTTTCAACCCAATGAGGTCACTCAACCTATCTAATGGTTGCCTGAAAGAAATCATATATCATGGGTCAGACATTATGATGCCATTAGTAGTGCCTTTTCTTTAGAGCTTCATGCAGGCAAGAAGAATTTCCCTGTCTTCATCACTTGGTGTTAGAGGTTCTAACTAAAATATGCTTAGATAATAATGTGGACACTACATTGCAAATAGTTGAACCACAGCAATCTCTTTAAAGAGTAACTCTGAGGATATCAGAATAGACACAAAGATAATCATTTTATTAAGTTTATAATAGAACCACTTGTACATGAGCAAAGTGGTTAACAGTTGTGAATTACTTAAATTATGGTAGAACTATAATGTAAAGTATATTATTAATATAGAAAGATGTTTATGTCATGTTAAATGTAAAAAGCAGGTTACTAAGTACAATATTTACCAATTTGTTGTTTTATAAAAAAGAAAAAATCAATAAGATGCTTACAAGGGAAGGTCTCCAAAGAGATGCACAGTAAAATGATTAGAGATTTTCTTCTGCTTGATGAAATTGTACATTATTTGAATTTCTGGTATCTTTGCTTAATGTAGGGCAATTTTGTTTAATATTTTCATGTTGAACTGTGAAATCAACTTTTAAAATTGGAACAGGAACAATAGATGTCTTTAGAATAGAACATTCCTTTTGAGATTTTATAAAGCTCCATAGTACGCATGTGGGTATACATGTATTTTGTTTCCATTAGCATATACTCTTATGTAACAATATGGTTTTCATCATATTTTCATATATGTACATCATACACTTTGCTCATACTTTCATCACCCATAACCATGTTCTGCCCCCCTCAAATCACTGTTTCCTCTTCCCACATAACCCTCTTCCAATTTTTTATGTCTAGATTTAAATCTAAATTCCACATGTGAGAGAATGCATATGATGCATTCATTTATGAGTCTGACTTACTTTGTTTAGTATACTATACTCAAGTTCTACCCATTGTCCTTCAAATAAGAATTTTGCTCTTACAGCTGCATAAAAGTATGACTGAATAAAACTGTGTATTCCCTTCTTCATTTGTTAATCTGTTGATTATCATCTAGATTATCTTGTTTTTTCTTTGAATAGTGAATTGTATTAGAAGAAACATGGATGTACAAATATCTCTGGTTTATGACAATTTCAATTTTGGTGGTATACATCCAGAGGAGGTATAGCTAGAGTTGGATTATATGGTAATCTTATTTTCAGATTTTTGAGAAACATGTAGACTGATTTCTGCAGTGGCTGTACTAATTTACATTTCTACCAAGAGTGTATAAAGAATTCCTTTCTCCTGTGTCCTCAGCAGTGTTTGTTGCTTGTTGTTTTTCTTGATAATAGCCATTCTGACTGGGGTGAGATCGAGTTGCAATGTATTTCTCATTTGCATTTCCCTGATGGCTAAGGATGCTGAATATTTTTTCACATATTTATTGGCCATTTGTACTTCTTTCTAGAACTGTTTGTTCAATTCACTTGCCTCATGCAGAAGAATGAAATTAGACCCTGGTTCAGTGTGGCTTTTCAGCATTTGCAGATTATTTTCTTTCCCAAGCTTTGCTTCAGGAGAGTCTCGAGAATCTTACAGGACTATGAAGAGATGAAAGCCTAGGAGGCTTAACTCCATAAAAACCACAGTTTTAACTGCTCAATTTAAGCACTAGAAGTCTGTGTTTGTGTTGGATAAAATGTATTCTGGGCCAATAAGTTTCACCAAGGAGAAGGCTTGGTACCAAGCTCCAAAGATGTTGACAAATGAGAATGGGTGATGCAGCATTTAGGTACAGAAAGGAGCAGAGGGAGAGAGAACAGAACAGCAGAGTCCTGTGTTCTGTAGGAAAATGTGCTTTTTGTTCTTCAAGAGAATGAAGAGTATGTTTCTCAAGACAGCAATGAGCATCAAGACAGTTACCAACTACCAATCTATGGATTCTGAGATGAACAGAATACAGAGAACAAAAGGTATCCTATGAGGACTAGGAGTCTATGAGGCCCAGGGACAGTTGGATTTCACTCAGGAGTGGATATTATTGTCACCAGATCACAGTATTCCTGCATCTCAAGGATAAGTGGAGGTCAGTATTCCAGGTATTGCAGACCTTCACATGTTGCTCATAGGGTAAGTTATTCCTAAAGGAAAAGTTCCCAAAATGATAAAGAATAGTGCTGGCTAGTGCAGTTTAAATAGGAGTTTTGTTTGTTTGTTTGTTTTTGCCTAGGCTCACATTTGAATACTTGTTCTTCAGTGGATAATGCTAATTCAGGAGGCTCTGAAAACTTCAGGAGGTAGGGCCCTCATGGACAGAGTAGGTCATTGAATTCATGCCTTGGAATATTATTCCTCATTCCTGTGCATTGCTCTTACTCTGTTTTCTGCACACAGTGAAGTGAAGATGTCCCTTTATATGTCCCCATTGTCATCTGCCTGGCACATGGGTCAACTGACCATGGAGAGACCCTTAAAACTGGAACCATATACAGCTTTCTACATTAAATTGGGATAATGAGAAGTCACTGGCAAACAGCTGACCTGAACAAGGGTGAGTTCATGGACCCCAGACTGATGGCTGAGAGGGCAGCATGGGACTGATCCAGACACCCTGAATATGGGTGTCAGTGAGGAGGCCTCAGCAATCTTTGGGGCCTCGGGTACTGGATCAGTATTTATCCCTGGCATACAAATGGACTTTGGGAGCCCTTTCCACATGAAGGGATGATCTCTCAGCCTGGACACATTGGGAAGGGCCTAGGCCCTGCTCCAAATGAAATGACAGACTCTGGAGATTCCCCATGGAGGGCCTCACCCTCCCTGGGGAGCAAAGTAGGCATTGGGTCAGGGGCTTGGGGGATTGGAGGGGGTGGGAGAGGAGCGGAGTGAGAGGGAGCTGGAATTGACATGTGAAGCAAGTTTGTTTCTAATTTAAATAAAAAATAATCTAAAAAAAAAAAGAAGCCAACACTGGCTTTAGGTAAGCTATGCCAGCGAGGAGTCCACACTTTGGATATGTAAAACAACAACCCAATATTTAGGTCCTAAGCTGTAGCAACCAATTGTTAGCTTTTAGATCCAGTCCAGCCAGAGCTCAGTGGTCCTACTCATCACCCTTGAACACGATTGCTATGCCTAAGTCCTTCATAGTCTCTGCCTGACATTGAGCCAGAAAACTGAAATTCCATGTCAAAAGACTGTGACACCTATGCAACAAGGACTTAGAGATGACAGGGTGGAGGTTTGAAACAGAAGGGCTGGGGTGGAGCTAATGCTTGAGAGTGACTGAAGCAGCTCTCTCCAGATGAAGAAGGTTTGTTTCCTAGACACTGGAAGCAACATAAGCAAATAGCTAATGGGGAAGACGAGCAGAATAAGTGTAATAATACATTTCTGTAACAAATTTATTTCTCATTTTTTTCTTTCAACGTTGTTAGTTCTGGGGATCAAATCCAGGAGTTTCTTGTGCTGGGCAAGACTTAACCACTGGGCTATATCACCAGTCATATTAGTCCATTGTTTTCTATTAATTTTATTGAAATGGAATTTACATGAAATAAAATTTAGTCTTTTAGGCTATTTGTTTATTTAAATTATAAGCAACACTGTTTTACATGTCAATCCCAGTTCCCTCTCCTTCCCCTCCTCCACTGTCCCCACTAACCCTCTATCCCATCCCCTTTCTGCTCCCCAGGGAGGGTGAGGCCTGCCCTGGGGGATCTTCAAAGTCTGTCATATCCTTTGGAGCAGGGCCTAGGCTTTCCCCCATGTGTCTAGGCTGAGAGAGTATCCCTCTATATGGAATGGGCTTCCAAAGTCTATTATTGTGCTAGGGATAAATACTAATCCACTACCAGAGGGCCCATAGATTTCTGAGGCCTACTCACTGACACCCATGTTCAGGGAGTCTGGGTCAGTCCTAAGTTGGTTTCCCAGCTATCAGTCTGAGGTCCATGAGCTCCTCTTTGATCAGGTCAGTTGTTTCTCTGGGTTTCTCCAGTCTGGTCTTGATCCCTTTGCTCATCACTCTTTGCTCTCTGCAACTGGATTTAGTGTTTAGTGTTTAGCTGTGGGTGTCTGCTTCCATCAGCTACTGGATGAAGTCTCTAGGATGGCATATAAGGTAGTCATCAATCTTATTATCGGGGAAGGGCATTTAAAGTAGCCTCTCCACTATTGCTTAGATTCTTAGTTGGGGTCATCCTTGTAGATCTATGAATTTCCCTAATGCCAGATTTCTCTTTAAACCTAGAATGGCTCCCTCTATTATGGTATCTCGTTTCTTGCTTTACTCTATTCTTCTCTCGATTCAACTTTCCTCTTCCCTCATGTTTTCCTCTCCCCTCCTTGTCTCCCCTCCTTTTTCTCCTAGCTCCCTCTCCCAGCCCCCATGCTCCCAATTTGCTCAGGAGATCTTGTCCTTTTACCCAGGTTCTGGATATTACAAATAATGCTGCTATGAACGTAGTGGAACAGATATCTTTGAAAATATGCCTAAGAGTGGAATTGCTGAATCTTATGGTAGACTGATTCCCATTTTCCTAAAGCATCTCCATACTGATTTCCAAAGTGGCTGTACAATTTGGCACTCCCACCAGCATTGGAGGAGTGTTTCCCTTTCTCCACATCCTCTGCAGCATAATCTGTCCTTGGTGTTTTTTATTTTAACCATTCTGACAGGAGTAAGATGGTGTTTGTGATTTGCATTTCCCTGACGGCTAAGGATGTTGAGCACTTTCTTAAGTGTCTATCATCCATTTTAGACTCCTCTATTGAGGATTCTCTATTTAGTTCTGTGCCACACTTTTTAATTGAATGATTTGGTGTTTTGGAGGCTAGCTTTTTTAGTTCTTTTTAAGTTTTAGTGATCAGTCGTCTCTCAGATGTGGACTGCTGTTTTGTCTTGTTGACAGTGTCGTTTCCTTACAGAAGCTTCTCAGTTTGAGGAGGTCCCATTTATTAATTGCTGATCTCAGTGTCTGTGCTACTGGAGTTATGTTCAGGAAGCATTCTCCTGTATCAATTAATTCAAGGGTCCTTTCCACTTTCTCTTCTAAGAGGTTCAGTGTGACTCGATTTATGTTGAAGTCTTTGATCCATTTGGACTTAAGTTTTGTGTATGGAGATAGACATAGGTCTATCTGCAGTCTTCTACATGCCAGTATCCAGTTATGCCAGCACCATTCATTGAAGATGCTTTCTTTTTTCCATTGTATAATTTTAGCTTCTTTGTAAAAAAAATCAGGTGTTCATAGCTGTGTGGGTTAATATTAGGGTTTTCAATTCAATTCCATTGGTCTTCCTGTCTATTTTTGTGCCAATATCAAGCTGTTTTCAGGACTACAGCTCTATAATAGAGCTTGAGGTCAGGGATGGTGATGTCTCTTGAAGTTCCTTTATTGTGCAGGGTTGTTTTGGCTATCCTGGGTCTTTTGTTTTTCCATATAAAGTAGATTATTTTTCTTTCAGATCTGTGAAAAGTATTTTTATGGGGATTGCATTGAATCTGTAGTTTGCTTTTGGCAGGATTGCCAGTTTTACTATGTTGATCCTATCTATCTAAGTGCATGGGATTTCTTCCTATGTTCTGGTATTTTCTTTAATTTCTTTCTTTATAAACTCAAAATTCTTTCTATACAGGTCTTTCACCTGTTTGTCTAGCGTTACCCCAAGGTATTTTATGCTGTTTGTGGCAATTGTAAAGGGTGGATGTTTCTCTGATTTCTTTCTCAGCCAATTTATTGTCTATATATAATAGGGTTACTGATTTTTTAAAATTAATCTTCTATCCTGCCACTTTGCTGAAGGTGTTTTTCAGCTGTAGTTGTTCCCTGGTAGATTTTTGGGTCACTTATGTAAACTATCATATCATCTGCAAATATTGAAAGTTTGACTTCTTCCTTCCCAATTTGTATCCCCTTGATCTGCTTTTGTTGTCTTATTGCTCTAGCTAGAACTTCAAGTACAATATTGAAGAGGTATTGAGAGACTGGACAGCCTTGTCTTGTTCCTGATTTTAGAGGAATCATGTTGAGTTTCTGTCCATCTAGTTTGATATTGACTGTTGATTTACTATATATTGCTTTTACTATGTAGGTATGTTCCTGTTATCCCTGATTTCTTCAGGACCTTTATCATGAAGGGGTGTTGGATTTTGTAAAGGCTTTTTAGCATCTAGTGAGATGATCATGTGAGTTTTCTTTCACAGTTTTTTTATACAATGGATTACATTGATAGATTTTTGTTGAGCCATCCCTGCATCCCTGAGATGAAGCCTACTAGATCCAGGCAGATGATTTTTCTGATGTGTTCTTGTATTTGATTTGCCAATATTTTACTGAGTATTTTCGCATCAATGTTCATGAGGGAGATTGGTCTGTATTCTCTTTCTTAGTTGTGTCTTTGTGTGACTTGGATACCAAGGTAATTGTAGCCTTGTAAAAAGATTTGGCAATGAAGCTTCTTCTATTGCATGGAATACTTTGAGGACAATTGGTATTAGCTGTTCTTTGAATTTCTGGTAGAATTCTATACTGAAACCATCTGGCCCTGGGCTTTTTTTGGTTGGGAAACTTTTGATGACTGCTTCTATTTCATTGAGGTTATTTGTCTGTTTAAATTGCTTGTCTGTTCTTGATTTAATTTTGGCAAGTGATATCTATCCAGAAAATTGTCCATTTTCTTTAAATGTTCGAGTTTTGTGGAGTACAGGTTTTCAAATTATGACCTGAAGGTTCTCTGGATTTCCTCACTGTCTGTTGTTATGTCTTCCTTTTAATTTCTGATTTTGTTAATCTGCATGTTCTCTCTCTAGCTTCTGGGTTTGTATAAAGGTTTGTCTATCTTGTTGATTTTCTCAAAGAACCAACTCTTTGTTATATTGATTCTTTGTTTTGTTTTCTTTGTTTCAATCTTATTGTTTTCAGCCCTCATTTTGACACCTCATCCTCCTGGGTGAGTTTGCTTCCATTTTTTCTAAAGCTTTCAGTTGTGCTGCTAATTCTCTAGTGTGACTATTCTCCAACTTCTTCATGTGAACACTTAGTGCTATGAACTTTCCTCTTAGTACTGCTCTCAAAGTGTCCCATAAGTTTGGGTATGTTGTGTCTTCATTTTCATTGAATTCTAGGCAGTCTTTAACTCTCTCTCTCTCTCTCTCTCTCTCTCTCTCTCTCTCTCTCTCTCTCTCTCTCTCTCTCTCTCTCTCTCTCCCTTGACCTAGGAATGGTACAATTCCAGGTTGTTCAGTTTCCATGAATTTGTAGGGTTTCTGCAATTTGTGTTGTTTTTGATAAGACACAGTGGGTTATTCCAATTTCTTTGTACCTATTAAGGTTTGCTATTTGTTGAGTATGTGGTCAATTTTAGAGGTTCCATGTGGCGCTGAGAAGGTATATTCTTTTTTCATTTTGATAGAGTGCTCTATAGATGTCTGTTAAACCCAATTGGGTTATAATGTCTGATATGACCTTTGTTCTTTGTTAAGTTTTAGTCTGGTGGACCTGTCTAGTGGTGAGAGTGGGGTGTTGAAGTCTTTTACTATAAGTGTGCGATGTTTTGTGGATGATTAGAGTTTTAGTAATGTTGCTTTTTTGAACTTAGGTGCCTTTGTATTTGGGGCAGTGTTCAGAACTGAGACTTCATCTTTCTGGATTTCTCTTGTGATGACTATGAAATTAACTTCTTCATCTCTTTTGATTGATTTTAGTTTGAAATCTAATTGTTAAGTACTAGGATAGCTACACCTGCTTGTTTCTTGGATCCATTTGATTGGAAAATTTTATTTCAACCCTTTCCTCTGAGGTAATGTCTTTCTTTGAAGTTGAGGTGTGTTTCTTGTATGCAACAGAAGGGTTGATTCTGTCTTTGTATCCATATTTTTAGCCTCTGGCTTTTTATAAAGCTAAGTTAATACCATAAATATTGAGGGAAATTAAGGAGCATTGAGTCTTAATTCTTATTTGTTTTTTATTTGTTTTTTTTTTTGTTATTGGTATTGTGTATGGATTTACCACTCTCTTTCTTTTGGCTTTTGGTAAAGTGGGATTATCTTTTGCCTATGTTTTTGTGATTGTAGTTAACTTCCTTAGGTTAGAGTTTTCCTTCCAGTACTTTCCGTAGGGCTGGATTAGTGGGTATTGTTTAAATCTGGTTTCCTCATGGAATATCTTGTTTTCTTCATGTATAGTGATTGAAAGCTTTGCTGGGTATAGTAGCCTGGGCTATCATCCATAGTCCCTTAGTGTTTTGAGAATATCTATCTAGGACCTTCTGGCTTTCAGAGTTTCCATGGATAAGTCGTGTAATTCTGATAGGCTTGCCTTTGTATGTTACTTGGCCTTTTTCCTTTGCCACTTTTAATATTCTTTCTTTATTCTGTATGTTTGGTGTTTTAATTATTATGTGACTAGGGGACTTTTTTGTGGTTCACTCTATTTGGTGTTCTGTAGGCTTCTTGTGCTTTCATTGGCATGTCTTTCTTTAGGTTGGGAAAGTTTTCTTCTATGATTTTGTTGAATATGTTTTCTGCATCTTTGAGGTGTGTTTCTTTACCTTCTTCTATACCAATTACTCTTAGGTTTGATCTTTTCACAGTGTGCCATATTTCCTGAATATTTTGTGTTAGGGATCCAAGGGCTAAGATTTTCTTTGGGTGATGAATTTGTTTCTCCTAGTGTATCTTCAACGCCTGAAATTCTCTCTCTAGGGGCTATAGTATTTAGTCTTGAGGAAATATTTAAACCCCTATATTATATAACATCCTTATGGCTTCAACATACAAAAAAACAACTTTGAAAGACAGATATATAATATTTCAGGTATGGTTCTTGGGCTGATAATTCAAGTAAAACACAGAGGCCTGGACGCCCTCTGTCTAGGACTTCAATACTCTGTGCATTGTATGCTCCTCAAGGCTAGTTTCATTTCTGATTACAAAATAGCTGTGAAAAATCACATTCCATACAGATGTCACATCAGAGGTAGAAGATGAGGCCATGTACAGTTTGGAAATGGGATAATTCCAAAGGCCCCTATGTTGGAGGCTTGATTTCCAGTGTAAGGTTAATGTGGACATGTTGGAATCTTTAGCGGGTGTGTCTAGGTTCTCTGCTGATAACCCTTGAAAGTGTTGTTAGAAGGCAATCTCTTTCTTACTTACTGGCTGTCTGTTAGGTGGGCAGCTGTTCCTTTACATACTCATACCATGAAATGCTATCTTTTTAGTATTTCATGTCATGGGTTCAACTGACCATGCTTAGAGCCAAGCTTGCATCAGGGTTTCCATTTCTAGGTTGATTATCTCCAGTATTTTGTTATAGTAATGAAGTTGGCTGATACAGAACTTTGTCTGAATACTTTTTTTTCTCTCCTTCCTAAGGTCAAGGACTCTTTCCTGAAATGCCCAAAATGGATTTTGTTATCTCACTATGCATTGCTTAGAATTCAGTCCAGCACCTAGACTTTGGCAATCGACTGAAGCAACGGATATTATAGATAGTTGCAAACCTGATTGAAGTATTCAGAACCTGACCTTTTCAGGTGAGCCTTGTGAAATTTCCTTGAAGCAATGATAGTGCAAAGAAATGTGGGCACCTGACCACAGGGAGGGTTGCCAGGAGGGGGGACCCACAACCTCCTGCTTTTCCTATGGCTGCACCTAGTCGATGCCACTTATCCAAACACTTTCCCATCTACATTCCGTTTTCACCCCAAAGATAAGCAATAGCAAATAAACCCCAATTCTTGTCCTTAAGAGGGGAAAAACACATCTTGAACTTATTCTTCTTTGAAGACAGTGTTCTTAATAACCCCAGTCATGCCTTCAACAATAATCTGCTAATATATCCATTTTGTGGAAAGCCTTGCCTTGGAAATAAGTAAGGATAAAAGTAACCTTCTTGTTTGAATTGTTAGGGCACAAAAGAAAGTCATAAGGTAAAGAACCACTGACAACATGAGCAGTGACTCTGCATCACAGTGCAGAACTCTCAGCAGAATAATGATGGTGTATTGAAAGCAGCACGGAAGCGGTTCAGAGGAGAGCAGATACCTGGGAGCAGGGACACACTGAGAAAGCTGTCCAGAAGAGGAGAGATCCTACGTGGGCTTGACAGGGAGGCTCTGCACAGGCAGACAAGAGTGATTGAGGGACTGTGTCTCAGCACTCAGAAGTGACTGGAACAGTGTATGGGGAGTCACGTGACATCTGCTTGTATCCAAGATCTAGTGGTTGCTCACTGTTTGGATAGGTTTTTATTCCCATCCATTGTTAGATAAACATTTTCTCTGTACCCACTATGTCTCAGATAATGTTCTAAGCAAAAAAGAATTAGAGAGTAATGGATCAAAATTCCTGTTATAGGAAGTGTGCTGTAGTAGAGGAAGGCAGAGAAGCATGCAAGTGAGGAAACTATACCTGATGTCAAATGCAGTAGAGGAGCCTCACGAAATGAGTGAGACACAGTGATGAGGTGCTATGACTGCAAGGGGAGAATTTCAGCTCGCGGTTTGCAGTGGCTGCTTTTGTCATAGGAAAGGACATGAGGGGGACATTGGCAGGAGCACACAATCATCAAGTTCCCTTCTCTTGTTGCCACTAGTCAGGGAGAAAGGCTCGGACTTCCCCCAAGCTCACCTAGGAGAGGTAGTGACTTTACTCTTATGTATTATATGAGTAGTTCTAGGCTAGAACTATAGGTTTAGAGCCATGTTGCTAAAGACTTTATTAATGGGATCAAGATTAGATGTGTTTGACTTGTGTGCTATTTGTATCATTGCCCTTATTTTTCTGTTTTTAGACAGTCTTTTGTAGTCCATTCTGATCTTGAGGTTGTTAGGTAGCTGAACTCCTGATCATTTATTCTGCTTTCCTCCTTTGTGTGTTAGGATTGCAGGCATCCACCATTACCCCTGGTAGATGGACACACATTTGTCTATCAGGATGATAAAGACAATCCATGTGATGAATACACTTGGTCCCCTTTGAGAACTGTTGTGACATGCCTGATGTGTTATGAAACAGAATAAAATCCAAAAGCAAGATAGCAAATACTGCTTTTAAGACTTTTACACTAAATAAATTCATGCTGTTATTGAACAATAACACAATTTTGCTTTTCATAGGATATTTTAGAGTGATTAAAGGTAGTGTCAGATGAATTTCAATAGTAGGTTCAAATATGGGACTGTTCAGAGTTATGTGGTGAATGTCTTCTTCCAGTCCTGCCTTACTCTCTCTCTCTCTCTCTCTCTCTCTCTCTCTCTCTCTCTCTCTCTCTCTCTCTCTATATATATATATATATATATATATATATATATATATGCTTAGGCTTATTTGGGCGTAATAATCCTTTATTTTAAGTTCATTGACCTCCTGGTTTCTTATTGCTTATTGTTGAATATTTTCATTATTCTCTGACCTCTGCTGTTAGTGACCTTTAAATGTTTTCTTTGGTTAATGACTTCTGACTAGCCAGCCCTCTTGCTGTTGTGACCCTATTTGATCTGTATCCTAGTTTCTTGGTTCTGGCTCCTTGCCTGCTTCCGCTGACCTGCTGCCACTCACAGCCTAGTACAGCAGATGGCCATAGGCTAATGGCAAGGGCACTCCATCAACCCTTGGCACTGCAGTCACATCAGACGCATGACAGGCAGCAGCGAAGAAACACGAATAGGCTGATGATGTTTTCTACATGTCTAAGGTTGGAATTGGTTCTTGGCTGGACTCCGCACTATACCCCTAAACCAATGACTATATGTAAGACATTGCACAAATGAAATCTTCCTTTAGATCAGCGTGTGTATTGTTTTAAAAAACCACACAAATTTTAAAGGCCAGTTGTGCAAAAATCCATGCTGGGTCCTGTGAGGCATACAAAGATGACACACGTGACTCAGTTACTTCCATCAAGAAGTTTATCATCCAAGAAGTGAGGTCATATAAGTAGTAAGCAGTAAGTTTAGATGGAACCATGTCCAAGCCTACCCTCAGGTAATACACAAAGCCAGGAAGTTGGCCACAGCAAGGATGTGAAGATCATTTTATATTGTAGAACTAGTTTTGGTTCTTAGGATTTGGGGTCTTGAAACCACGGGTGACCAATAGTTCCTGCCAATCACTTTGCATTCTTTAATAGCCTTGTCCTTTCAGCTTTCCCTACAAATTCCACAATAAAGAATTTATCTGTTCTATACATGAGATTCAAAATGAGTCAGATTTATAGAAGAAAGGTTGACATCATAAGAAGGGTAAAGAAAAATGGCTCATTGTGATAAAATTATGGCTTCTATTAATCAATATATGTAAATCTTCAAGGTCAAATACTATAAAGACTATTTTGCTCATCCTATCATCGGAGACCCACTGTGCCAACTTCAAGACTTATTTGTCATTTAAAGATTTAGGCTGTAATTCTTCCATCTGAAAATGAAAATTTCTGTCCTTGACTTATATGTGATCAAGACTGATTAGCAGAAGAAAATGGCTTCAAAATGTTTCATAGCTATGAATAAGACTTTTTCAATTTGAAAAGGTATTAAATGAATTAATTGAAGCTTTCCAACTGATATTACCAATGTTTACTTTATAATGTTACATTATCAAAACAAACCAACCTACCATTTAGATAATATCAAAAAATTGCCAATTTTTATTTCATCAGAAAAAGACAAAAATATTTTCTTTGCAACATGTAGATCTTCAGATAATGGATTATTTGCATTTTCCTTCCAATACTTGCTCAAAGAAAGACTATAAGCAGAAAAAACTCAAACATGTGTAGAAATATTGACACAATTTCTTATACTCCTGGAACTCCTATATACATGTATGTAGAAAAAAAAAGTGTTATCTTGCTTGATGTTCTTAGCTTCAGTATCAAGTGTAGTGAACTGATCAACCCATATATAACAGCAATAGTTTTATGTTTCTAACATTGTGATTTCCATTTCAAGCACCTAGCTTTCTGGAGTGGCATAAGTTTCATCTTATCAGTCTGGAGTTTCTTGTATTCCACTCAAGGTCATGGCTAGGGAAAATGGGTCTCTACTATACTAAGATATTCTAATATAGCTTGCCTGGTCCTAAATGTTATCTTTCCATTCATAAAGATATTAAAAAGATTTTCTTTATTCCTGTTCTAAGTTATCCTAAGGAGCCAATTCACATCTTAAAATGTTCCAGCATATTAATTTATGGTTTTACTGAAGTTTCTTCTCTTAGTTAGGAAGAATTTATTGCTGGTCTGTGGTGGCATATGCCTTTAATCCCAGCAATTGGGAGGCAGAAGCAGGTGGATTTCTGTGAGTTTGAGACCGTCCTGGTCAACAAGAGCTACTTCCAGGACAGCCTTCAAAGTCACAGAGAAACCCTGTCTCGAAAAAGCAAAAAAAAAAAAAAAGCATTTATCCAGATGTCTGGTATTCATGTAATATGTCCATGAAGCAAAAATGAACTGGGTACATTCAGTATGAATTCCAGCTTACTTTTAGATATATCTGACACAACCATTGGAAGTAGACATAGATATAAATAAACAAAAAATTAGATGCTTGATGAATTTTTAATTTTATTTTTATAACCTTATTTCTTCCAGGCAAGATTTCATGAAGGACCAGAGACAGAAAAGTACTATATAAGAGAAATAGATAAAAATAAATCATGTAATAAGTTTATGGAACATTGCTAAAACTGGATTGCAAATTGAATTTGGAGCTTTTTTAGTGGCTAACCCAGAGGAGATTACGGTTTGCAAAAAGATTTATACTTTAATGCTACACTGTTCTGAGGTAGCACAATTTGTCCCACATAGTGTCCTTGGAAGAGGTCTCTGGAAGACGGTCATGTGTGAGACCTTGCGATTTTATGAGCAATGTTTCTAACTCCCTCTTAAATAAGACCTACTACAATTTATGAAAATAATTCTAAAAGAGGCTACAGCTTTCTCCGCCATTCAGGTCCTGAGTTCCCTGCTGGTGTTGAGCGGGGATAGTACAGGAAACATACCGAGGGGTAGAGAAGTCAACTCAGCATTCGATTGAATGGAGCCCTTCAATGTGATTGAATTAAGGTTAGAGGCGGATATGCAATAAGGCCCTCCAAGGCGCGGTACCGCTGTGTAGAGGTCCTGCTACCATTAATTGAAGTCTCGTTGCTGACACAGTTTGTGTGGAAAAACACAACCTTATGACCTGAAAGTTCAAAGCAGAACTGTTTCAGAACTCAGGACAAGTAGAATGTAACACACTCATCACCTGTGTGACTGATGCTGCAGCTCCCAGACAGTGCTATTACCAGTATGTGCCATCTGGTCCCTGACTATTTTTGCTAGTTATTTTCGCAGTGAGGTGCTGAGCTCCCTGGTTTCTGTGCTGCTGAAAGGGAGTGTATTCTGTAAACAAGTAAATGTCATATATTTTTAAAGGAAAGGTTTTAAAAATACATTATCATTTTCTTCTAAGTTCTAAATTTTAGTGGTTTGAGACAAGTGTTAAAAAATGCCAGCACCCTGGAACAACCTTCTAGAGGAGTGTTTCCAGAT